GTATCAGATGTTTTGCCCCCTCCAGGCTCTGACACACTGTTCTCGGGTTTCAGCTGGTGTTCTGCAGCAGGGATGGTCTCCCACTGTGACCGCCTATATGAAGCACAAAACCAGGAGCATGGAAGCCACGAAAACAAACCCAAGACCTAGAGCAGTGGTTCTCAACCTTCCTGACGCTGTGACGCTTTAATATGGTTCCTCATGTTGTGGTGACTCCCAGCCACAACATTATTTTCGTTGCTACTTCATAACTGCAATTTTGCCACTGTTCTGACTTGTAATGTAAATATATCTGACAGGCAGAATATCTGATCCCTGGGTTGTTCAGCACCCAAAGGAGTGAGTCCTGACCCACAAGTTGAGGAGTACTGACCTAGAACATCTGTGCGGCCTTAGACTACGACAAGGGATGGAATAAGTCACCAAAGATCCCAGGAAGAAAATCCAGGGTCACACAGCCAGCACTGTGAATTCTGCTAACCATGTGAAGGGGAGTGAGGAGCCGTCCTCCCCAGCTCCTCTAGAAGTAGAAGGGGGCATGTCCTTGCCGTCCTTTGAGGCCAGCGTTCCTTTGATTCCAAAGTTGGACAGAGACATTGGAAGAGAGGACAAGGCACATTAGAGACTAGAAAGTTGAGGAACATTTCCCTTTCATTTTAGAATACCTGATAGTTATGTTGGGATTGGGAGCAAGTCCAAACCCCCAATCCATTTACACAGACACTGTGTTCTCACAGTCTGCTCATTGCTCACCGTGTCGGGGCAGCTGGAGTTTGTAAGTATCTTGTGCGCACACCACCACATTTCACAGGTGCTCCCATGTGAGTAGATAATGTACTTGGCTCTCCCCTTTCTCCCCTCCCTTTTCCCCCTTCCCTAACCCTCCTTTCACGTCACATATACACACATGAGTTTTTGTATCTGTAACATAGGATCCACAAATGAGAGAACATTCAATGTTTGTCTTTATTTGATTTAATTTGCTAAATATGACCATCTCCAGTTGTACCATTTTCCTACAGATGACATCATTCCATTTTTCTTTGTGTGTGTGGACCACATTTTCTTTATCGGCGCTTCTGTTGAGGACTCCCGTGCTGCTTCCACAACTCAGCTCTTATGAACAACGCTACAATAAAGTGGGCGGTGTCTTAGTTTTATTTTTGTTGCTATGACAAAATAACCTCAAAAACTACAACTTAGGGGCGAAGGGTGCTCATTTCAGGTTGTAGTTCCAGGTTCTAGTCCATCACAGCAGGAGCAACACAGTGACAGGTGCTCCAAACAGGCGGACATCACATCCGCAGTCAGGAACAGATGAATGCATGCATGCTTCCGCCTTTCTCACAGAGTTCAGGTCCCCCTGCCTGGGGAATGGTGCCACCCACAGTGGACTGGGTCTTCCCATGTCATTTAACTGAATGATGTTAATCCCCACAGACAGGGCCACAAGCTAACACAATGTGGACAACCCTTGTTGATCTCCCATGTGATCCTAGGCTGTGGAAAATTGATAGCTGGAGCTGATTAGCACAGATTCATAGATATCTCTGGGATATTAATTTGGAGTCCTTTGAGTAAACACACCGGACACCAGAGTGGAGTAGCTGTCTCTCAGGGTAGTTCTGTCCCCAGCCTTTTGAGGAAACTCTATACTGATTTCCATGGTGGCTGCCTCTCCACATTACTGCCAGCAGTATCTAAGGGTTCCCTTCTCTCTGCTTCCTCTCCAACATTTTCTGCCCTTTGTTTTCTTGATGACAGCCGTTCTGGCTGGAGCGAGAGGGACTCTCAATGTGGTCTTCATTTTCATTCCCCTGCTGGCTAGTGGTGTTGAACATTTTCACATGTCTACTGGCAATTCTAAATGGATCAAAAGCCTCCATAGCAGACTTAAGACTCTAAAACTGTCGGAGGAAAAACACAAAAACCACTTCAAAATAAAGACATAGGCAGGGTCTTTCTGAAAAAGGCTCTGACAGGAAATAGGGACAAGAGCCAATAAAATTAAAATGCTTTCTGCCCAGCAAAGGAAACAGTCGAGTGAAGAGGCAGGTCTCAGGATGGGAAAAAAGTCTTTATCAGTTACAATCTAAAAGAAGATTAAGATCTAGCGTGTACACACAACTCAGAAGGCTAAATACCAAGAAATCAAACGACTCAATCAGTAAATCAGCTACTGAAATGGATGGACTGGCCCTGGGAGCTGAGGTATACCTGTGTGCTGACCCAGTAATGGACGGACTGGTCCCAGGAGCTGAGGTATACCCGTGTGCTGACCCAGTAATGGACGGACTGGTCCCAGGAGCTGAGGTATACCCGTGTGCTGACCCAGTACAAAGTTGGGTGTGAAAATGCATGCTGCATGATGTGATGCATGTGCTCAGAAAACTTCAAAGTTCAGGACATTTTGGATTTTAGATTTTTGGGTTAGGAATGTTTGCTCTGTGACCCACATGCCCTCACCAAAGACAGTCCCTAAGAGAGCCACCCTCCCCTCCCCACCTCAGTCTTCCTGCTTTACACCAGCACTTCCTGTCACTGTACGCTGGCAAAGCAGTCACCCAGAAGCCTTTGCCTTGAGCTCTCAGTTCCTGGGTACATCCAGTTGACATCTGAGCTAAGAAGACGTGACTCTGGGTCAGTTTTGCCCCTGGTCACTTAAAATACCATCAACATACAGTATTACTCAATAAACAAATGTTTAGGAATGTGAAGTAAACCTGCCTCTGTCCTACCTACACTGTCATTTCGCACACACACCCCAGTATAGATACTGTTCTTTTATTTGCACTTCACAGATGGGGACTCAGGCTCAGAGACATCAAGAAACTTACCCAAGGTCACTCAGCTGTGTGACCGACGCTCAGGGCACCAGTGCTGTGTTCAGATCTTACACCTGTCAACCTCTCATTCAAAGATTTTATTTCTATTTTAGTTACGTGTGTGGATCTGTGCACGTAAGTGAAGTGAACTCAGAAGCCAGAAGAGGGTGCTGGATCCTTGGTGCTGGAGTTACAGGAAATTGTGAGCTATCTAATATAGGTGCTAGAAGCCAACTGAGTTCAGGTCTTCCGAAAGAGCAGCAAGCACTGTAAACTGCCAAGCCACCTTCCAAGACTCCTCCCTGCTTGCTTATGTGTTGTCTGCAAACCTGACAATGGCCTGGAAGACAGCTCAATGGGAAGGAGCTTCCCATACATGCATGGAGTTTGGTCCCACGTGAAAAGCCAGGCATGGTGACATTGACCTGTGGTCCTAGCACTGGGGAGTGGGAGGGAGGAGGGGGAAGGTGGGAAGGGAGAGGGGACCCGCCCAAAGCCTACCCTGCTCTCCTTGGAGGTTGCTATTCTGAGACCCTCAATAAAGCTTTCAAAGGCCTCCTGCAACTTACAACCTGGGAGGCCTCAGGCATCAAGGTGTAGGAATGACCTGCTGGGAAGAGCTGGAGCCTGGAGTCAGTGCAAAGACCTGCCCAGTTGAGTACAGCAGGCATTGCAGTTTCTGTTGCAGGCGCTGCTGTTGAAGGAGCCTCAGCTCTTCAAAGGATATGCACGACTTTATGTCTGTGCAGCAGAATCTCCCGCTATTAGCAGCTTTCCTCACCCAACGCCTGACTTCTATCTAGACAGCGCTCAGCCAAGTCCGATAGCTGTCAGGCACAAGCAATGTGGCCACCGTCCAAGATGCAAGGAAACTTCGAGAACAGTGGCCAGTTTTATTGGGGGATGGGGTGGTGCGTGTGTATGGCATCCATTTTGTTTTTGAAGGCAGGGTTTCTCACTGAGCCTGGTACTCACTGAGTAGGCTAGGCTGCATGGCCAGTGAGTCCCGGGTACCCACATGTCTCAGCCGCTCCAGTGCTGAGACTGCAAGTGCACAGGACACCCAGCTTTGTGGGACGACGCTGGGGACCTGACCTCAGCGCCCTCACACTTGCATGGAGCAGTCAACCCCCAGAGCCTTCTCCCTAGCCCCTGTCGAACTCAGAGAGCCACATATCTGTCAAGCGTTCACGACTGAGGTGAACAGCGGCTTCCTGTGGTCACAGTGTTTCTTACGCATACCTTCAGTTCCGGCTTTTCACTCCCTGCGGTGTCGGATGGTTCAACCGTCAGTGTTGGCCCAGACCTCGCCTAAGAACGGGGACCGTCTTTACCTAGATGGACCCCCAAACTCTAAGAACTGGAGCTGCCTTTACCCCCTCCGCACACTCCAAGAACTGAGGACGTCTTTACTTAGACGGACCCCCCACGCTCTAAGAACCGGGGCGGTCTTTACCTAGACAGACCCCCCACACTCTGAGAACTGGGGCGGTCTTTACCTAGACGGACCCCCCCACACTCTGAGAACTGGGGTGGTCTTTACCTAGACGGACACACACACACACACACACACACACACACACACACACACACAGGCTCTAAGTTGTGCTCCACTGAACTTCACACATCAGCAGGAGAGGCTGGAGTCAATGTGGAGGCCCAGGGTGCTGAGCGGAAAGTTCTGAAGGGAGGTATGGTAAGTGTGGGAAGGCACTTCCCTGTGTGGAAAGACTCAAGGAAGTGTTTCAGGAAGGAACATGGCTTGTGGCTAAGAGCAGTCATGCCCAGGGACCAAAAAGACTTTTCTCTTTAATCTGATGTGTTTAGACGAATCATTTCCATTCTGTCTGGGGTTTTCTGATTGGTTGGTTAGTTTTGTTTTGTTTCTGCATTTAAAAAATATTTATTTTATTTTAAACATGTGTGAGAGAAAATGGTGTGTGTGCCACACGAGAGTAGGTACCCATAGAGGCCAGAAGAGGGTATGGCTCCTCACCGGCTTGGTCCTCTGCAAGAGCTCTTACCCACTAAGCTATCTCTCCAGCTGGTCTTTTATTATTATTATTATTATTATTATTATTATTATTATTATTATTATTATTATTATTATTTTCATTTTGGAAACAATATCGCACAGTCATAGCCCAGACTAGCCTTGAACTCAAAGCAATCCTCCAGCCTCTGTTTCCCCAGCCCTGGGATTACATACATGCACCACCTTGCCCAGCTCCATTCTGATCTGCCTTCCCAGATATTCTGCTTATAAAATAAGAGGCTTGAACTTCACCATAGGTGGGAAAGTCAGATGCTATCAGAAGCCAGGAGAGAAGACCCAGCAAGTTCAGAAAGCAGGACCCGGAATCGAGGGCAACCACCGCTGTGGACAGCAGTGGGAACACTGGCCTAGGATGTGCAAGGCCCTGGGTTTCTACCCATAATGTGGGTCTGTTTTCATGGAGGGAGGCTGGATGGAGAGTCTAGAAAATTTTCGAGAGATCATGGACCACCCAAAAAGCATGAAGATCCACATACCAACTTAAAATGAAATCTGTATGTGCCTGTTGATAGGTGTGGGCATGGGTCTGTCATGGCACAGCAGGTGTGAAAGGGATGACAGCGGCGGGGGAGGGGGGGTAGAATCCCTGCCAGGCTGGCTGTCTCCCCCTCCTGTCTCACAGAAGGGGCACTGGGAACACAGATCCTGGCTACCTGGGAACTTTAGCTCTGGTCCTCGTGGTGTGGGGCTGGGGCTTTACCCAGTGAACTAACCCCTCGCTCCTGCTCCTGCCTCCACGTTCAGGATCCAGAACTTGAGCTGAAGGGCTTTTCCCCTCCCCCACCTTCTCGGGAGGCAAATGTTAAGCATACATTTAAACTTTACAATCTAAATTGAATAGCCACAGGTGTTCTGGAAATGGGCCCCAGTGATGGTCCCCTCAACCTTCAAATGCAAAAGAATCCAAAGATCCATAAAGAAAATTTCAGAAAGGAACGAGATGAGTTTGTATTCTCTTACATTCTAAGAGGCTTAAACTTTTGCTGGGCCTCACAGCCGAGTTAGTACAACACTTAAGACCGCTACACTAATGTGTATTCGGCCTGCCCGTTTAATCTGCCTTCATGAAAGCAGTGTAATTGATTGGATTTCCCATGTATCAACATTTACAATCTAAGTTAACAGAGAACTGTAATTTTAAATTACATGCTCTTTCATGGCCCTGACCCAGAGTAATGTACCCAAGTTCCAATAAGCAATTTGCTGACTGTGGCAAAAATAGAAGTTGAAAGAAACCTTCTAAAATGAATATCCACCATAAATGTTAAACACAACCCGTGAATATCAGTTTATCAACTGATTATTAACAGTAATATTAACAGTAATAATTGTTCTCTGGGTCAGTTGGGCTCAGTTGGACTCACTGATATTTCCCTTGTAAAACATTGCTAAAGATTTCTTAAAGTTTCCCATTCCTTTCCCATGAATTCTTGCTTTACTGTCAATAAAGACAGAGTGAAGCCCTTCGTGAGGAACAGACACACAGACCGATTCACAAGACAGCCTGAGGAACAAACGCACAGACAGATTTGCAGACACACAAACATAGGGACAGGGACAGATTCACAAAGCAGCCTTCAGGCAGGAACAGATTAAGACTCCTGTAACAGACAGGGGACAGAAGGAAGACACACGGAGAGCAAGGTAGAGAATTTCACAATCTGGGCTCAGTGACCCCAAGGGAAAATGCTTTGATTTCTCTTCTTAACATTACTGACAACTCTTCAGTTTAGTGTAAATTCATGGAAACCAACCACGCTTTTCTTCAATAGTGACACTGCAACACCCCCATGCCTCGTTTACAAAGTGCTGAGGGTCACAATCAACAAAGACTCTCCACAACCTCCCTCGTGATACCCCTGCCCACCCCAGGACCCTCGGATGTGACCCCGGCAAGAGCGTCACACCTCCACTTTCTCTGCAGCGCACTTGGCAGGAACAGCAATGCTTCTGTCCCCGAGATCCCCCACCAGGTTTCCCAGGGGACAAGTCTCAGTGATGTCTACAGGTGTCTCCCTGATCAGGATGGGAAGTGGGCACCACAACCCACTGGCCAGATCTTGGCCATGTGCTCATCACGGAACAGAGGTAAAATGTAGTAACAGTCCCTGAGGACTGAAGAGGGGGGTTTACAAGAGAAAAATCTGGTTATTAGCAGAGTTGTGGGGCAGCACGTGAACACACACTACCACGTTAAAGGTCACATGCTACACTGCACAGTGTAGGCAGAGTCCATTTAGGGACTGAGAATGCAAGAGGCTGCAGAATCAAGAGCGTAGAAGAAGTCAGGAGGCAAATCCTAGGCAGTGACATTTACAAGGGATAAGTATAAGCTTGTGTTTAGGCCTTTTAAATGGCACACTTTATAGATGGATTTACATCTACAGAATATAAAAAGCACACTGAAATAAAATTAACAGATTCCTGTTGTAAGAAAACGAGATATGAACTGGGAGAGAACCTCCCAATTCTTGTTCAAGTCATGGGGGGGGGGGGCGGGTGTCCAGCTGAAAGAGGCAGTGCTGTCAAACCTGGTGCTGAACCAGCTTTGTCTTCCCATTGCAAAGGAGTGTGTCCAGGTCCGAGGTGGGAACTGGGGACAGTCTATGAGGTGTGGTTGAAGAATATGACATGTTGGTGGGAACTGGGGACAGTCTGTGGGGTGTGGTTGAGGAATCTGACATGTTTTGCTTGTGATGTAGATGTAGAAGTTAAAGTGACTGTCGGATCCACTTGTTTGAGAGAATGAGGGGGCTGGAGAGATGATTGGCAGGTAAGAGCACTGGCTGCTTCCAGAGGAATGGGGTTCAATTCCCAACACCCACATGGCAGCTCAAAACCGGCTGTAATCTAGTTCCAGAGGATCTGACGTCCTCTTCTGGCCCCTGAGGGTGCGGCACACATGTGGTGCACAGACAGACAAGCAAGCAAAATACCCACACACTTAAAAACTGAATAACATTTTTAAAAGGAAGCTCGGTCCACTAAGGGGTCCAGCTGTTGGCTACAGTAATGATGGCCCCAGCAGTCACCAGCAGATGACCACCAGCAGAGAGTCAGGCTGGCCCGACCCCTTCCAAGAACAGCACAGATGGGCCCACATTCCAGAAGGATACAGCCTTCTCCAAAGTGCATCTGTCTTAGTCATGGTTACTATTGCCACAATGAGACACCATAGCCAAAAGCAACTCGGGGAGGAAAGGGTTTATCTCACTCACAGTCCCTTCATCATCAGAAGCAATGAGGGCAGGAACTCAGGCAGGGCAGGAACCTGGAGGCAGGAGCTGATGCAGAGGCCATGGAGGGTGAGGCTTACTGGCTTGCTCCCCATGGTTTCTCGGTCTGTTTTCTTATAGAATCTCCAAGACCCAAAGATACAGAGGAGTTACAGGGCACAAGCGCTCAGCTGGCCCAAGAGCCGCATCAGTCGAGCACCCTGAAAAAGAAAGTTCCAGAAACGCAGCAAAGTATGCCGCTCAGAGCGCTACTCTAAGACCCACAGGCCGGGGCCAGTGCCTTGGCCCCTCTCCACTTGTTTCATTGCTGACTCAAAATACTTGTCAAAGGCACCTGAAGGAAGGTGGCTTTTATGGCTCTCGGTTTCAGGGCAGAGTGACCCCAGGGAAGGCACGGCGGCAGGAGCAAGGCAGCTGCTCAGGTAGCATCACAGCCAGGAAGCATAGAGAGATGATGCAGGCGCCCACTGAGTTTGATTCTCTTATTTATTTGGCCCAGACCCCAGGCCCAGGAATAGTGCAACTCACAATAAGGGCGGATCTTGTCTCTGCAGTTAAGCCTTCCTGGAAACCCCCTCCCAGCCACAGCCAGTGTCTCCTAGACGACCCCAAATCCAGTAGGTTACTACATTGACGAATCGTCACTATGTACACAAGGTCAGTATTGCCACTTCCGAGTCTCCACAGAGAGAGTCTGAACATACCCCTGTGTATGGCGGACCCTGTGTATGAACATACCCCTATGTATGTGTTCCCATGCATGGCAGTCGGGCAGGGCGCCAAGACAGAATTCCAGAAGTCAGCTTAACCCACTGTCGCTTCCACTTCAGCTTTTTGGGCCCATTGCATCTCAGAATAGGGCTTGGAGCCAGAGACTCCACCTTGTAATGACTGGTGCTTTGCAGTTCCTTTGTAGATGGGAGATAAAGTTCAGCGGGTACCCTGAAACTGAGGGAGGAGGCGAAGCTACAGCAAGCTTCGCCTCCAGCTCTGCCCTTGACCTAGGGCTTGGAGGTGCCCTTTCTGTTCTCTTTGGAGCTTGCGCACTCAGCAGGGCTTTGATGGCGCCTGGTCAGACAAACACAAACGCCTCCAACTCAGGCCAGTTAAAAACCAGACCACATGCTTTGTTTGGGCAGGCAGCAGAGAGGGCAGTGGAAGAAACTGTGAGCCTGGTCGGGGTTTCTGGGCAAACAGAAAAGGAAGGGCATGCCAGACAGAGGGCACAGCCGTCCAAAGGGCACTGAGGCAGAAAATTGCAGCGGTGGCAAGAGAAGGTGCAGGGAGGCATGGGGAGAGGAACCCGAGGCCAGGATTGTAAGGGGTCCTGGGTGCCCCACAGCCCAGCTCACCCGCTTCCGGGAAGCCTCAGGAAGAGTCCAAAAGGCATTACGTAGAGGCTGCTGGCGGCTGGGTGACTAGTCTAGGGCTTGGAGCAAGTAGAGGCAAACTTTGATGTGGGAGGTTTCGGGGCTGGGGGGGCTAGCAAGGACTGTGCTGAGAAGTTGGTGCCACCTCGGGGAGACTGCGGCACCTGGGTGGGGTCGCTCCTCTGATCCAGAAACTCCAGTCCAGTGTGCAGCCACTCAGAGCTCACACCGGCCCGGAGCCAAGCCTGCCCTGTCATCTATGGTTTCATCTCTTCCCTGTTTGTCCCAGATGACACCTCCTCCAGCTCAGACAGAATGGAAGCCACTGAGAAGTGGGACATCCAGAATTCCCCAGGGGAAGAAGGAGCTGGGGGACACAGCTGTTCACACACAAGCACTTAACTTTCCCCAACATAGACACAATACCACACACACACACACAGGCACACACACGCACACAGAAGCACATAGCCTCCCCCCCAACACAGGCACACAGATGCACACACAGGCATATAGTCTCTCTCTCTCTCTCTCTCTCTCTCTCTCTCTCTCTCACACACACACACACACACACACACAGAGGCACACAATATCCCCCACAGGCACACACATGCACACAGAGCCTCCCCCCAGGCACATATCTTCCCTTACACACAGGCACACAGCCTCCCCCACACACATCACACAGCCACCACACACCGGTAAATGCAACCCCCCATACAAACACACAAGCACACATTCCCCCAATGGGTGCAGGCAGGATACACACATACACAGGCATATACATGCATACATAGGTGCACACAGGCATATATACGTGCACATGCAGGCACACAGGTACATATACAGGCATACACACATACACATACAGGCATACACATCGCAATACAGGCACACATGTACACACAGGCACACAGGTGCACACAGGC